TGAAAGAATTAGTCATGATTATGATATATTATTCATACCACTCTCATGATACTCAAAAATGTGATGAAAATGCAAATCTGGAGAGACTGAATTGGACTACTGGAACAGATGCCAGCATGGGTTTTCCATGCATACTGATACTTTTCAAATCAGCTAAGTTAAGAAGAGTAGATGTCAATTGTTCACATTTGAATGATATCTTTAAAATAAAATTAAATGATATGTAGAGACTTCTTGTTTCAAAATACACTTTCAGAATAAGTCACATCCAACACTCTCCTGTCACAAAATAGCCATACTTTCTGTTGCAAATGTATTCTTGGGGTGACTTACACTAATTCCAGGCTTTCATTCAATATATAGAATGAACAAGAAACTAAATTATTAGGGTCTGCTCGATGACAAATATGTGAACATTTGAGCAAGTAACTTTAACTTGAGGGTTCACAAAATGTAATCTCTGACACTTTCCTTTGCACATAGGTACACCTCTAACAAAGAAGAGCATGGAAGACTTTGAATTTTGGAATTTTCAGTCACTACCCACAGCAAATTGTTGCAGCCTTTATGTGATGATTTGTCATCCATAATATAGTTAAATACATTTTGTATACTGAACATATTACTCTGGATGTCACGTCTGACACCGTGGACAGACCCCCCTCTAAACATCATACCTTTCACTGGACAGCCTAGAACAGACTGAATTGTACTACTGGAACATATGCCACTATGGGTTCTCCTGTGCATACTGGTGATTATTATACAGGGTGTCCCATAAGACTGGAACCATAGGGTAAAATAAGTGCTGCACATATGTGGGAGTGCATCAGATGCATGTAACACCATCACTCCTGACACCATTCGAAGTGTGATTGCTGACTGGATACCTCGTCTGCATTTGTGTATCAATCATAATGGTGGACACATTGAACACATTCTGTGAATACAAGTCATTATTATCATTTTGCCCTACAGGGTGAGTAAGAAGTTCTGTTACAAACGTTTCTTTGCCAAAAACAACCAAAGCAATAAGAACATCCGCTGAGATGAAGCTCAATGATGGCTGCACGTTATGCATTCATTTTGGCACAAAAAATGATAGGAACTGATGAGACCATTGCTTCATCTGCAACTTTAAGCTACATGTCCATACAAGTCACACGCTCATAGGCTTGTAAAAGATTCTACCCGAGAGACATTCTATGTGAGTCCAAAGTTTGTAACAGAACTTCTTATGCACCCTGTGTGGTTCCAGACTAATGGGACACCCTATAGTTTAATACATTTTGTATATCAAACATATTACTTTGGATGTCATTTCTGACATGGTGGACAGATCCAATGCTCTTGCCAGTCAAAACATGCTTACACGCTCCAGTGCGCTCAGCCACTTGGTGATGTGGATCAGGGAGGCAGACTGCATGCCCGTGAAAACAAAGTAACTTGAGCTGAACTGAGCATGATGCAGATGGGTTAAGGTGTGGAATGGATGGGGAGGGGGAGGGAGAGGATTCCCAGTTTTTTTGCATGCAATGAACCGAAACACTGAATGGAAAAATTAAGCTCTCCCTCCTCCAGTGTTTTCAGTAATCTCCAAAGTAGATGGATGTCACCCATGGATGCATAAGATCAAACTGGATTGACCTGAGAAGGCATTTCCCCCTCCCCTTTTTAGTGCATCATCAGGACATGCATCTTCTTTTATTTCTTTATATTTCTTTATTTCTATTCCAATTGTCCCTACTCGCAAATTCTTGGAAAAGGTTAAGGAGGTCTAAGATATGAGACAAAAAGACTCAGGGACTGCAGGTTTTTGTGGTAAGAAGAAATGGTGATGATCATGGTGGTGGGAGAAGAGAAAAAGAAAAAGGGCAGATGGGGTCATCATATGCCAAGATTCTTCTTCCCTCTCTTCATCCCATAAACTCCCCTGGCACTAGGTATCTTGCTTTTCTCATACTTATGCCAAAAATGGCATATTTTGTCAAGGAAACTACTTTTAAAATTATAATTATTCACCTAGTTTTAGAAAGGAACTGATAACACTAGATGTTACTTTCCTTCCATATAAACACCTCAGCACATTTCCTTTCTTATATTCTAATCATGCTGGAAAGGGGTAAACATACTGGGGGGAGGGGGGGATTCTATGTGGTTTTTCAATATATATGTACAAGGTGATCATAAAGTTGGTTGGCAGATGTACAACATTCTAGAACATAAACTATGCACCAAGGGGAGAACATTACATAAAGAGAAGCATGCCTCAAAGGGAGCACTGCTGGCATGACATGTTATCATGGGAAGAAATGCTCCATACGGCCCCCACAAAGCTCCGCAACAGCTTGCAATCCATGTGCCACATTGCAGACTGTGGCTCTCAACATGTCAGTGAATGGACTCCCCTTCTCAGCAGATGGCATCCTTCAGATCTGGTAATGGTGCCAGAATGCTGAGGGCAATAGCAGTCAATTGAAGATGGGCAGTATCATATACTGCTATTGCTGGAGATCTGAAATAACATGATCTTCATGTATGATGATGCACCAAACCTGACAGGGGCACTTGCAATGACAGAGCTCATAGGTATCATCTATGATAAGGTCGCCAGTAGACATTTCCAGACACAGTAGCCATCACCTAGATCATAGATCACCAGATCCAAAACCCCCCCAAATTTTTGGCTTTGGGGGTTACTGAATAGATAAATGCCTCTCAGCAATATGGTTTCAATATGAATACTGAAAAACTCCATTAGCTGAGAGATGGAGTCCAATTGCTGCCACATGTTGAGCTGCAGTCAGCAAGGCCAGACATTGATTAGAGGCAGTTTTGGAACTTGGTGGGAGCCATGTTTAACATTTTTTTACCCTGAATACATGACATCACACCAGCAGCACCCCCCATGAGGCACATTTTTACATGTTGCATAACATTCTCTCCATGGTACAATTATATGTATACCAAAATTTCACTCTAAACTGCAATGCACTAGTATTGTTCTAGTATGTCATACATCTGTCAACCAACCTAAGCTTAATTGTGATGGTGCACCAATCTTGGATTCTAGGAAGCCACTTTGGTCCCAACATAAGCACATCATCATTTTCAGCCATTTTAGTAGGACCTCATCATAAGGCTGAAAGGAATGACATGTTCCTTTTCCTGAATAAGCCTAATATGCTATTGTAATCATTAACTCACGTTAGCTTATATTAAATGAAAGCCTAATGAGCCTAACAGTGTATTAAAGCATTCATCTGCTCCAAAATGAGAGATTTTGGCTTTCCTTGAATATAAGATGATTTTTACCATTTTAGGTGCACCTAAGTCCATTGAATTGAATTGAATTTGAATGTGCATTGAATGATTGAATGTGCATCATCCTATGCCAAATGAGAGAAATAGAAAGAGAAAATACTCAACTATACCCTTAACAAAATAATAATGAAAAACATTATGATGTACCAATACATTGGCAACCACTGGTATCAACTGCTGATATGGTAACAAGCAAACAAGCAATGCATTGCAAGCTGTCAATGCAAACTCTGAAAGAACATGCTATAGGATGAAAAGTTGAGAGAAAAGAAAAGCACATGAACAAGACACAGTAAATGATTCTCAGCAGTAATAAGAAATAAGTAGGGCTGTCATAGCGCATTGATGTCATTCTTGATCGTTGGAGGCAATGATGGCTTTATCCATTGTGATGGTTACACCTCCCTCCCCCCCTCCCCACCCTGACCACAGGCAAAAGAGGACAGAGCAGAAAGAGGTCTGCACACTGATTGACACAAAAAATGGCAGAAGTCTAACTTCAACCCAATTGTAACAAGAGATGCCTGAGTCTGCTGGCAACCCACCCCCATGATGCATTGATGTCCCATTGATAGTTCAAGTGATAGTTCTTTGATGTGCTCCAAGCAGCTATTGTAACAGCCCTAAAAAGGTAGAAAATGGCTTCCTAATAGACCTATTGTAATACATATTTGATGTGGTACTTTTCTCTTTATCTACAAGTCATAACTGGCATTGGCACCAGGTGATTGGCAGGTGGTTCATATTCAGTCAAATGTGATCTTTGGTACAGCCTTAACCCTTTGAGTAGAAGGGACAAGAAAACATCCTAACCTAGGTGACTCAGAGGGAGTATGGATGAGTATACACATTTTCAAGTCCACCTTTGTGTGAAATTTAATGTCCAAAAACAAAACCTGAGCATTGCTGTATTTTTTCAACATGCTGCAAAAATTCACTCCAGCAGACCCACCCAGGTTAGGAAGACCTAATTGCTCAAAAATTTCTCCTTTGATGCAATGAAATACAGGGATATAGAATATTGAAACTTGGCTCAAAAATACCTGTTTGATTGCTGAGTGCAAAAAAAAACCTACTTTTGAAATATGTTCCCTCATGGTGGATTATGGGAAAGTATTTCAAGATTTATTTTCTGCTCTGACAAAAAGGGGCACATGAATAAATTTGAAGTTAGGCACACAAGAAATCATCACAGTAATAATTTTGATAATAAAAATCTTGCTTATGTACCCTCATGGCACATATTTCATCAGGGACATGGTTTGAATAAGTTTTTGCCATTTTGAAAATTAATTAGTCATACTCTTGATAATGGAGCACTAAAGACTAGCACTAGTCTTTTTGAGTCAGACTTCTCTGAACAAGAGTTCAGAGAAGTCTGACTCAAAAACTTCCAAGTGAAAATCCAAAATATGTCAAGTTCCAACCTAGATCATTTATAAGCTCTTGAATAGTTAGCTTGAATAGCTCTTGAAGTTTGAATTCTGGACTCAAATAAACCATCTCTGCTAATTTTTGGACATGCTACAAACTGCTTTTAAAGCATCATTACCTTCTAAATTAATAAAGCAATGAACCTTGCTTAGCAGTGACATATGTCTCTTGAGAAATGAGGTGTTGCAATGCCATTGGCTAGTTAGCAGCCTGCATTAACATCAGCAGTTGGCTGGGCCTACCTGTTAATGCTGTTTTCTGATGCCTTCCTTTGCCAGCGGGGAACTGGGCCCAATGCAGATGAGACAGGGCCATCCATTTTTACTAGCTGATTTATGTCATTTTCCAGTTTGAAGTGGGACATCGTGGGCCAAAATCTTTATTTCTTTCCCTGCAGAGCCAAATCTTCGTTCATTCAATTTTTCCTGCACCTTTCATTGAATCTGCAGAGGGGAGAGACAATCTGGGTTGACCATGGGCCACAGAAAACTTAACCTGTATCCTTGTAGTGTTTTTCACTTCAGTTTGATACTTTTTCACTTGACTTCGATACCCATGCATGAGGAACGTCCCATTCACAAGTGTCTGAGTCAAGTGACAAACACTACCTATGGTCACCCCACTCGCAATCTACCATATTGGAGATGGTTGTCTCGACTTGCATTAGGTTTGGGTAATATTTGTTGATTACAATTATGTTGCCAAGGATAGGCTTAGCCTAGCCTTCGTAACTGGACCGAGCTTGCCTAGGTTTTTACCTGTGAGTACAAATGCTTCATCATGCCAATCTAATGAACTCTTTCCGTAAGTGCCTACAATAGGTTATGCCCAACGGTTAAGTTGATCTCGGTCAAAGCCAACAACTAACGTTAAACGTTAGGCTGAAGTTGGGCCTATAACTAATTACTAGGAGTACACATGCTCAGATCTAAAGGTATAAAATGCCTGTGAAGATCGTTGGCAAAATGTAGAACTGATGTTGCACGTTAGCCCACCGTGTAACATACGGAAATATTCTTGGACGTCGCGCTCCCCTCAACGGCGATTTGGATAGTTTGAGCAGGGTTGCCCACTCCCTTTATGATTATACACTTAACAATGCCTGATTATCTGCTGGATTCTCAAGATTTCTGACTTCTACTCAGAACGATCATCACACATTTTCTTCCTTTGATTCTTTTACATATTTTGTGATTTCGGCTGCAATATGAAATAATTTGATTTCAGCCAGATATGCTGTACCAGAGATTATTTCTAGTCAGGAGTCAGGAGAGTTAGTGATATCAAGAGGCGATTTCGCCCATTTCGATATCACGTGTCGAGGTCGAGCGTTCCTTAATTTTAGGGTAGGCCTAACCCTCTTAAAGCTATATATTTTTGTATTTTTGTTTTGTTTTTTTTTTTTTTTTTTTTTTTTTTTTTTTTTTTTTTTTTTTTTTTTTTTTTTTTTTTTTTTTTTTTTTTTTTTTTTTTTTTTTTTTTTTTTTTTTTTTTTTTTTTTTTTTTTTTTTTTTTTTTTTTTTTTTTTTTTTTTTTTTTTTTTTTTTTTTTTTTTTTTTTTTTTTTTTTTTTTTTTTTTTTTTTTTTTTTTTTTTTTTTTTTTTTTTTTTTTTTTTTTTTTTTTTTTTTTTTTTTTTTTTTTTTTTTTTTTTTTTTTTTTTTTTTTTTTTTTTTTTTTTTTTTTTTTTTTTTTTTTTTTTTTTTTTTTTTTTTTTTTTTTTTTTTTTTTTTTTTTTTTTTTTTTTTTTTTTTTTTTTTTTTTTTTTTTTTTTTTTTTTTTTTTTTTTTTTTTTTTTTTTTTTTTTTTTTTTTTTTTTTTTTTTT